GGAGGAACATTTTGTGGACTGATGAGAGTAAAATTGTTCTTTTTGGGTCCAAGGGCCACAGACAGTTTGTGAGACGCCCCCCAAACTCTGAATTCAAGCCACAGTACACAGTGAAGACAGTGAAGCATGGTGGTGCAAGCATCATGATATGGGCATGTTTCTCCTACTATGGTGTTGGGCCTATTTATCGCATACCAGGGATCATGGATCAGTTTGCATATGTCAAAATACTTGAAGAGGTCATGTTGCCTTATGCTGAAGAGGACATGCCCTTGAAATGGTTGTTTCAACAAGACAATGACCCCAAACACACTAGTAAACGAGCAAAGTCTTGGTTCCAAACCAACAAAATTAATGTTATGGAGTGGCCAGCCCAATCCCCGGACCTTAATCCAATCGAGAACTTGTGGGGTGATATCAAAAATGCTGTTTCTGAAGCAAAACCAAGAAATGTAAATGAATTGTGGAATGTTGTTAAAGAATCATGGAGTGTAATAACAGCTGAAAGGTGCCACAAGTTGGTTGACTCCATGCCACACAGATGTGAAGCAGTTATAAAAAACTGTGGTCATACAACTAAATATTAGTTTAGTGATTCACAGGATTGCTAAATCCTAGAAACAAAAACGTTTGTACAACATAGTTTTGTGTTTGTACAGTCAACGGCAGACACTGCTATTTTTTTGAACACACCCTTTTTAACTAATTGCCCAATTGCACAGCCTTAAGAGCGTGCATATCATGAATGCTGGGTCTTGTTTGCTTTCTGAGAATCTACTGCACCTACTGGTAACTTGTTTGCCATGTAGCAATAAAAAATATACTAAAAACCTGGATTATTCTGGTTAGTCACATTGTACTGCTATTATTTTGAACAATACTGTAGTTGAGATGTACCCTAAAACCACTCACCTAGTACTCTATTGTTCCTCCACCTACTGAGGCCTCTGAAGGTCCCTGTGGGATCTGGCTGCAAGGTGGAGGTGGAGAAGATGAGATCTGGCAGGTCTGGAGTCCTGGGTAGCTCTACAACCTTTCTCAACAGTGTGCGCAGCAGGGCAGGGTGCATTATCTTGCTGCTTTCATCATGAGGGGTACACCTGGTCTGCACCAGTGGTCAAACTGACATGAAGGCTTGGACCCAAGGTTTCCCAAAATAGCATCCCACCGCCCCCACTGGCAGGTCTTCTTCCCACAGTGCTGCTCACCAACTGTCTAACGGCCCAGACCCTGACCTACCGTTCTGGCTCATTGTGTGTTCCTGAGTTAATAATAAGACACCAGGCAGTGAGTGACAGTGTGTATATATATTACTCCCCAACCCACACACCCATACACATCTTTAGCTACAGTTGTTCAGCATTGAGTAACAATAGTTGTCTTCAAATATAGAGCGATACACTTTATACAAAATACCCTGCATATTCAGGTGGGGAGCTGTGAGGTGTGTCGTCTGTTCTGAAGGGTTAAAGCTTCAGAGAGAATGGAATCAGATCAGAACCATCTGCAGAGCCGGTGTACGTGGTGTGTGTCTGCAGCTTTCAGACTCACCTGGTGGTCTTCCTCAGCAGGAGAGGCCAACACCCAGCAACTTTTTTTTTTTGCAAGGTGGAGCCTGAAGCCTCAAGCTCAAAGAGGATAACTGACTGTAACCCGCAGTTACCCTGGACCAGAGGCTGCCACACATCTGCAGAGTGGATTCATTCGGCTACGGCTACGGTCATTGCCAGGTCACATCTACTTCGTTCTTTCAATTTAAGCCCATGTGAATTTCCAACAGTGCACACAGACATTTTTAAAAGTCATTTTTTGTCTGAAACCCAAACTGATGAAGCCTCTTCGATGAGAGGTGAAACGTCTTCGACCTAGAAACCTTTTGAAAGTTTTTTCAGCTTACTATGACCTGGATGACAGAATCTGCACAGACAAGCCAAAGAGATTCAGTTTATTGTGAACACCAACAGAACAGCAGACAATCCTCACAGTACAGTTTGTAGTCTCTTGGCATTTTAAAGATATTTACAATGCCAAGAGGTTCTGCTGGCCGCTTGTTCCTAAAGTGGCCGGTCGACACACAGCTGAGGGAACATTTGACTGAAAGTCTCAACAAACCTGCAAAATGATGGACGAGAGGACAGTTTCTCACCCAGAGTCTGAACTTTAACTTGCTGAGGAGACGGTTTCTACATCCACACGGTTTCAGGTGAAAGAAGAATCACAGCCATGTTTCTGAAACCTGGCTGTTGTCAAGTGTTTATTGTCATATGCACAGTGAGGAAACGTGTTTCCCTGTACAATGAAATTCTTACTTTGCCGTCCACACGAAGGCTGTTGAAGCAAAGGCTTCGGTCACCAGAGACAACGAAACATGGAACACTTGTTTTGGTTCTTTCCTACTTTGTCAGTAATTTTGTAGATTAATCAATTAGGTGTTTAATGAACTAATTAATAGTTTGACCTCTTCATGTTTCATTCTGATTTTGATCGACTGAATTTCAGGCAGAGAATCACAAAAAATCCAACACACAGGGGAAACTGGATACATGACTGATATTTATATATATATAAATATCTATCAGCTCAGAACCTCAAAGCTAAGAGAAAACACAATGAGACCAGTAATTATAATGATCAGAATTTCAGTGTCAGTGATGAAAATGACCAAACGACAAAACCATCCTGCCATCTCTTCATTTTGACAAAGTTATAGAGCAAATGGACGAGAGGGAGGAGCTGGTCTGAGGCCAGAATGTAAATCAGCACAACATTCATTTCCTAATACTGGCCTCTGTTATATTCTATTGTCGAGATGTTTCCAGTGTGAACGTGAAGGATGTTTCTGATTTCTTGTTGCTTCTTTAAGGAGGAGGTGCAGAAAATAAACATTAAACATCTTGATTTTTATTGTTTAATGATCCAAATCAAACTAAAAAAGTTTGTGTGTAAAAAGTACAGACACCACATCCTGGGGTGAGAGTGAGACGGCAGCTTATCTGAACATCCACAGACTGACTCTGGTTTCTACTTTCCTCCTGTAAAGCCAGTGATTTCTAATCATCACTCTGAGTCACTGTCGACCTGTGGAGTCAAAACTGTACAGAGAGAAAATCCACACTTCTGTTTGTAGTGATCGATCAGAAAGCACCAGGTGTCTATGAAGGAAACTAAAAGGACTTGAAGTAGTTTTAAACACAGAGTGCTACACAGATTTTCAGTTTTGGTTATACCCACCTGTACTGAGGAAAACATATTACATCATCATTTATTTTCACAAGTTTACTTGCTGTTGCTTCGCTGTGAATAACTATGAGATCAGATCCGTCTGTTTTGTGTCTGTGCTGGGCTCAGTGTGAACCCATTCACCCACTGAACCCAGCTCTCCACCAGCAGTTTGCAGGTTGTCCCACAAATGTGGTTTTACACACACAGTCCTAAATATGAGTGCAAAGGCACCAACCAGCTCCCAGTGCACCGTCGTCAACAGCTACAAACTCCACAGACCCAAAGTCTCACAAGAGGAAATAACAGTTTTAGTGAACAAAACGAAGGACATCGTGCTCGCTGTTAGCGCTGACAAAGTTCTCCTCATGGATGTAACAGCGGTGTCAGTCACTGAGCTCTGACCTGGACCCATCCTGGCAGCTCATGGAAGCAGGGTGGATACATGTCAGCATCACAACCAGTGTGTACAGTCCCAAATCAAACAAGATCAAATATAATAACAATAAAAGTGCATCCATGCTGTGCTGACAAAGACAGCTTGTCAAGTAAAGTGAATTTACTGGAGGATTAAAGGTCCTGTATTCAGACATCATGAACACCAGGTGAACAAATGTGCAGACAGAAGATCAGAATCTGTATTTAACAAACGTCATATTTTGGACTTGCCATAATTTCCGGACTATAAGCCACTACATCTTTCACACACTTTGAACCCTGTGGCTTAAACAATGATGCAGCTAATTTATGGATTTTTACGGGGTAACGAGCTTCGTGCCGCCAATACATTTAGCCTCGTCACATCAGACTAATGAAATTACCGAACAGTTCACAGTGGATCAATGAAACTGTTCGAATTAAATCAAATGCACTCACACTAAATTCTTCAGATCAGTCATTTTGCGCTTCATGCACAGCCTCATCATGGAAAACACACAAAGAAATGCATATGATGCAGCTTTCAAGTTAAAGGCGATCGATCTGGCTGTTGAAGAAGGAAATAGAGCTGCTGCACGTAAGCTTGGCATCAATGAATCGATGGTGAGACGTTGGAGAAGGCAGCGTGAAGAACTGACTCAATCCAAAAATCCTTCTGTGTACACCTGTGGCTTATAGACAAGTGCGGCCTATATATGTACAAAATTGTTTTTCTTTTTAAATTTAGTGGGTGCGGCTTATAGTCGGGTGCGCTCAATAGTCCGGAAATTACGGTAGGTGAAGGACAAAATTAAAAATCCTTCACTTTTACTCACATACTTAAAGCTGCATTAACTCAGATTCCCCCCACTGTCTGATGACCCCAGTGACAGTGGGACCTGGTGTCTCCCAGCTACACCCCCCCATGACCCTCTGCTGCTTACAGCCTCCTCCTGTTATTCCAGCTTCTCCACCCTGTGTTGTCAAAGTACGGTCTGTAAATCAGCCCCGCCTGCCGCCTAGCCCAGGT